ATGGACTGTGCTGTTAGGGACCAAAATCTTGCCTCTTCCTGTTACATAATTGGCTTTTTTATTTATTTAGATTTTTTTGGCCAGGGGAGACTTGAACTTGATAAGCAAGTTCTCTACCACTCAAGCCACACACACCCAGTCCTTTATTTTAGTTTGCCTGTCACATAGGGTCTCCCACTTTTGCTGGGCCTGGCTTTGGACCACAATCCTTCTACCTCCACCTCCTGAGTATCTGGGATTATAGACATGCATCACCATTTCTGGCTTAAAATTTGGGTTCTTTATAGTTTAAGTCTTCATATTAGTAACTCACTTCCTCAAACTAAATTGAAAACTCTTTATTATTCAATTTTTCATTAAATGTTACAGATATGTGATAATTACAGGAAATCATATAATAAACACTTGTATAAACACCATCAAATTCTATGCAGTCTTCATACTTTTCCTATTTTTGACTTTTTTTTCTCTTTTGTGCTTAGAATCAAACCCAGGGTCTCAAGAATGCTAAACAAGCCAGGTGCTGTGGCTTATATCTGTAATCCCAGCTACTTAGGAGACAGAGTTAAGAGGATTTCAATTCAAGGCCAGCCTCAGAGAAAAAGGGGAAAAAAAGTTAGCAAAGATCCTATTTCTTTTTTTTCTTTTTTTCTTTCTTTCTTCCCATTTTTCTTTTTTTTTTTTTTCTTTTTTGCTTGTGGGTTTTTTGGCAAGACCCTTTTTCAAATAACAAACCAGGCACTGTGGATCACATCTTTAATCTCAGCTACATGGAAAGCATAGGTGGAAGGATAAAGGTCCAAGGCTGACCCAGGCAAAAAGCATTAAGACTCTGTCTGAACGATATGACCATATACCTTAAAGACCCAAAAAACTCAACTCAAAAGCTCCTAGACACCATCAACAGCTATAGCAAGGTAGCAGGATATAAAATCAAGATAGAAAAATCATTAGCATTTCTATACACTAATAATGAACAAACTGAGAAAGAATACATGAAAACAATACCATTTACAATAGCCTCAAAAAAATCAAATACCTAGGTGTAAACTTAACAAAGGATGTGAATAACCTCTACAAGGAAAACTATACACTTCTGAAGAAAGAGATTGAGGAAGACTATAAAAAGTGGAGAGATCTCCCATGCTCATGGATTGGTAGAATCAACATAGTAAAAATGTCTATACTCCCTAAAGCAATCTACATGCTTAATGCAATTCCCATCAAAATTCCAATGACATTCATTAAAGAGATTGAAAAATCTACCGTTAAATTTATATGGAAACACAAGAGGCCACGAATAGCCAAGGCAATACTCCGTCAAAAGAACAACACTGGAGTTATCACAATACCTGACTTCAAACTGTATTAAAAAGCAATAGCAATAAAAACAGCATGGTACTGGCACAAAAACAGACATGAAGACCAGTGGAACAGAATAGAGGACCCGGATATAAAGCCACACAACCATAACCAACTTATCTTTGACAAAGGCACTAAAAATATATGATGGAAAAAAGATAGCCTCTTCAACAAAAACTGCTTGGAAAACTGGTTAGCAGTCTGCAAACAACTGAAACTAGATCCATGTTTATCACCCTATACCAATATTAACTCAAAATGGATCAAGGATCTTAATATCAGACCCCAAACTCTAAAGTTGGTACAAGAAAGAGTAAGAAATACTCTGGAATTAATAGGTATAGGCAAGAACTTTCTCAATGGAATCCCAGCAGCTCAGCAACTAAGAGACAGCATAGATAAGTGGGACTTCATAAAACTAAAAAGCTTCTGCTCAACAAAAGAAATGGTCTCTAAACTGAAGAGACCACCCACAGAGTGGAAGAAAATATTTGCCAGCTACACATCAGACAAAGGACTGATAACCAGAATATACAGGGAACTTAAAAAACTAAATTCTCCCAAAATTAATGAGCCAATAAAGAAGTGGGCAAGTGAACTAAACAGAACTTTCTCAAAAGAAGAAATTCAAATGGCCAAAAGACACATGAAAAAATGCTCACCATCCCTAGCAATAAAGGAAATGCAAATTAAAACCACACTAAGATTCCACCTCACCCCTGTTAGAATAGCCATCATTAGCAACACCACTAACAACAGGTGTTGGTGAGGATGCGGGATAAAGGAACCCTTTTACACTGCTGGTGGGAATGCAAACTAGTACAACCACTCTGGAAAAAAATGTGGAGGCTTGTTAAAAATCTAATCATAGATCTACCATATGATCCAGCAATACCACTCTTGGGGATATACCCAAAAGATGTGACACAGGTTACTCCAGAGGCACCTGCACACCCATGTTTATTGCAGCACTATTCACAATAGCCAAGTTATGGAAACAGCCAAGATGCCCCACTACTGACAAATGGATTAAGAAAATGTGGTATTTATACACAATGGAATTTTATGCAGCCATGAAGAAGAATGAAATCTTATCATTCACAAGTAAATGGATGGAAGTGGAGAACATAATTCTGAGTGAGGTTAGCCTGGCCCAAAAGACCAAAAGTTGTATGTTCTCCCTCATATGCAGACATTAGATCAAGGGCAAACACAGCAAGGGGATTGGACTTTGATCACATGATAAAGCAAGAGCACACTTGGGAGGTATGAGGATAGGTACCCCAAAAACTAGATAGCATTTGTTGCGTCAATGCAGAGAAATTAATGCAAATACTTTAAAGTGACAGAGGCCAATAGGAGAAGGGAACCAGGAACTAGAGAAAAGGTTAGTTTGAGAAGAATTAATTTAGAAGGTAACACACATGCACAGGAAAGCAATGCAAGTCAAATCCTTATCTCAACTAGCAAAAACCCTTGGTCCTTCCTACTATTGTTTATGCTCTCTCTTCAACAAAATTAGAGATAAGGGCAAAATAGTTTCTTCCTGGTAGTGAGGGGGTAGAAGGGAAGGCGGAGGAGGTGGGAGGGGGTAAGAGAGGGGGCAAGAGGAAAGGGGGAGAAATGACCCAAACATTGTATGCACACATAAATAAAAGAAAAATAAATAAATAAATAAATAAAAAGACTCTCTGAAAAATAACAATCAAAAAGGACTGAAGACATGGCAAGTGCTAAGAGTATCTGCTTAGTAAGTTTAAGACCTTGAGTTCAAACCCCTACACTGCCAAAAAGAGAAAAAGAAAAAAGAGAAAGAGAAAGAAAAGAATGCTAGGCAAATGCTCTACCGCAGACCCAAACTCGTAGCACCTGGCTCATGTTTTAAGTAATTAAATATTGCCCTTAGAGTTGCAACCCTATGCAATCCTTTATTCTCTCACTCTCTCTCTCCAGAAGTAGCTTTCATTTTGTATTTTCCAAAGTTTTTTTTTTCTTATAAACACTTATTCTGTCCTTGCTCAAGGTTAGGAAGAGAAAAGGGTACAGAAAGCCCCACCAAGGATTGGAGGTGTGGTTCAAGTGCTAGAGCACAAGCCTGCTTTGCAAGCTCGAAGCCTGAGTTCAAACCCTCATCCCACCAAAAAACAAAGAATAAGAAGAAAAAAAATTGGATACTCCCACCAAGGGGAGGGAAGACAGTGTCCAGAAGTTGGTGGTCCTGGGGGTATCCAGAAGTAAAGTTCTGGGCTCTGATGAGGTTATTCCAGGTCACAGAAATCCAAGTGGACTTGGGAAGGCTAATTCTGGAAGCCAAAAACTCCAAGGCAGACCCAGCGTCTTCCTCTAGACAGCAGGAGAATCCAGGCTTACTATGCTAGCATCTCTTTCCTGGCCACCTGTAGCCTCTTGCCCCTGGCTTGGAGCTGGCCCACACACCCCACCCCATCCCATCAAATTCAAACAAAAATACAGACACAAATCTCTGATAAAGAAACTTTTATTTTGGAATAAAAAAAATAAGACTGCAATTCAAGATACACATGCATAGGCTGGGATGAGCAGCCCAGAGAACATAGAAATCTGCAAGTTTGCTTATTTATTTACATTTAGTAATTTAGGATTTACTTTTATAAAAGCATGTTAATAAGCATTAAATGTTAAATTTGCACTTTGAACATTATGACACAAATATAAAACATTCAATGTTAACACTGATTTCCCGTACCTGACTTGGATTTACATATGATTTTATGTTTTACAGAATAACTTTCAAAGTTACATCAATGCTCATCATAAGTACTAGTATTCCTTATCAAAATCTTCATGAAATTTATAAAGCTCGTATTAAAAGTAGCTAGTTCTTTTTCTTGTATACTCTAAAATAGGATAGCATGAGGCTGGCAGAGTGGCTCAAGTAGTAGAGCACCTGCCTAGCAAGCCTGAGGCCCTGAGTTCAAACCCCAATACTACAAAAACAAAAAGAATCTTAACAATCCTAAAACAACAGCTTGAATTAACTTTCAAATTTTCAGGGCATGAAATATATACAAATAGATTATTTTTTAATGTATCTAGGATAATTTTGTTTATGGCTATAACAGAAATACATTCAACTTCCAGGTATTTTCTTTTAAATACCGTAAGCAAGCCCCAAACATAAAAGGTGTTTGGGGTCAATTATTTCTTAGTACAAATAACCTGTCAATCAATTTTAACCAAGTTCTTAAAAGCGTTCTGCTGGGTATTGAGGGGGGGAGCGGGAGGGGGTGGAGTGGGTGGTAAGGGAGGGGGTGGGGGCAGGGGGGAGAAATAAACCAAGCCTTGTATGCACATATGAATAATAAAAGAAAAATGAAAAAAAAAAAAAACCTTTTGCATTTCGTAATTCTTAAACAACGCATCTATATGATGGAAGAAAATTTACAGAGACGAAATTCTCAAACTACTCAACTCCTATAATAAGAAATGTGCAAATTTAGAAACCATCAATGTTACTTAGCAAATATACCTCACTTACAACACCGGTTATTTTGAACAAAATTTCATTGGCACTTTCGGAGTTTACAGAAATTGGCAAAGTGATCCTGGCAGCTACTACACAAAGTTAGTCTTATGGTCCTTCGGCCCTTCATTTTCTCTCAGGTGGCGGGCTGACGTTTCCCATATCTTAGTGAGGTAACCAGGGCCAGCTTTTGAGATTTATCGCACTGTCCGAAAGAGGCCTGGGAGGTGCTGAAGGTAGGAGAAGATACACGGGTCACAGGAGAGGTGGGCGCAGGACAGGAGTCAGGGCTGGTCTTGGCATCTTCTTGTATCTTCCAGAGCACCAGCTGCATGCAGGCGCTGGCATCCTCTTTGGAGCTGTGTCCGTTCACGTTGTCCTGGATGATCCGGCTGAGGTGGTGAGCCACGAGATTGCGCAAGGAGCGCTTGTAGGGCAGGCCCAGGTGATGGGGGAAGAGCACAGAAGTATCCACCACGGTGCTGTGAATGACCTTCAAGGCCAGCAGGTCGCTCTCCAGGCTGTGTCCGATGAGGATGGTGTCGGAGCTGAACATGGCCAGCAAGGCAGCCTGGACATCCCGAAGCGTGGTTCTTGTGAACTTAAGGTCTGCCTCGGTCACCCCAGAAAACTTGGTGTTATAGTCGACGATCTCGTTGTCAGGCTTGACGAAGGTGTCAAAAACCACTTGCATCTCCGCGTTCACCACGGTGACGCGAGTCAGCTCCAGGCTGTGCGTGGTGTAAGACATCTCGCAATCCAAGGCGTAGATTCCCGGATGAGCTTCCTCGCATGGTTCTTTGCGGAAAGTCTGCACAAAGCCCTGGAGGTTTTCTTTCCTACCGTCCTGCACGTGTTGCCGGGCCACTCTACAGCCGCTGGAGCCCTTGGTCGCTGCGCAGCACGCGTACCGCATCTCCCAGCCGCCAGCCGCCCGGCAGGACAGAAGGCGCCCCCAGTGGTAGAAGCACTGCTCGTTGGGGACATGGCGGCCCGAGGAGGACACATCATACTGGGTGCCACAGCGGCAGCAGACCCTGTGGGAGGCACCCTTGGGCTTCTCGGCAGTGTGGAGCACGGCGCCCCCCGGCCGCTCCGGGTGCGCAAAGGGGAAGCCGTTTACCTTGCGCTGGTCCTCTGTGAGCAGGTACCCCAGGAGGCGGCTGTACAGGGCGGCCCTGGTGAGCCCCGGCACTATGCTGGGGAGCAAGCCCCTCAGTTTCTTGAGGGTGCTCACCACGACGTTCAGGTAGGTGGTCTTGCAGAGACTGCCATCATAGGCCATCTTCTCCTCAGCCTGTGCCTTCTCTATGGCCTCCTGGAGAGAATAGAACTTAAGATACTCCTCAGTGAGGTGGCTGAGATAGCGTTGACGGATGCTCATCGGGACCTTGCCTCCAAACTCTTTGGGGATGATGGGTTTCTTCGAAGACGAGCTGTGAGCGCTTGGCTTGGGTGCGATGGTGGAGCTGGTCTTTGACGCCATCCCGGACAAGGTGCGCATCTTGGGCGGCTGGCTGCCAGGCTTGGGGCCATTGGAGGGTGGTCTCCAGTTGGCCGTGAGGATTCTCTTGGATCCTGTAGGGGTCTTAGCCAACCCTGGGCTAGGGACTTGGACGACTTGTCCCTTTTCACCAGGAGCCGAGCTGTGGACTGAAGAGAACCTCTCAGTCGGTGGCAGATCAGGTTGCACCCAGCCAGATGGTTTCCTCTGTCCCTGCTGGGGTCCCCAGTGGAACCCCTCCTGGGAAGTCACCACTGGGCTCCGCCTCGTGGGTGGCGCTTGGACGCAGATGAATCCTGGAGACTGGCCACACATCGGAGGTACCCAGAGACCAGGGTTCCGCGCAGGCTGATAGCAAGGCAGCAGGAGATCCGGAACTGTATAGGACGCCACCTTGCAAGCTTCTGGATGACCTGGTGGGAACCAGGCCCGTGCGCTGGGCTTCAAGCTCATGCTGCTTCGGAGTCCTAGAGCCCGCGCGGCCCCACGCTTACAGCCGCTGTGGGCGCCCAGCCTGGACCTTCCAGATTTTATTGAGACCTGGATGTGGCCGAATGCACCGCGCACTGATCAGATTAGATCTGTAATCCAATCACATTTAACCCTATCTTCCTCTTCACTCTAACTTCCGGAATCCCTGGGCTCCTCCTACCCGGAAGTGTCTTGTGATTGAATCAATTGAGATTCCTGGTTTCCAACCTTGGAGCCAGGTTTTCTGCCCTGAGTTTTTCTTGTGCTAATTCATTGCTCCTCCACAGCGATCCTACAAACTTACAGATGTCAAAGTCTCTGAACCAAGGCTCAGAGAGTTTGTGCAGCTTGCCCAAGATCACACAGAGCCATGATTGGAGCCTGGCAGTGTGTTATCCGCTAGAGGGCCCGGCTACTTTGGGGCCACTGCGCAGTTGCAGATCACTCTTCCGGCTCTGTGCCTCCTCCCCAACGCTGGAAAATCTGAGAACAGGATGTGGGCAGGATCCAGGACTTAGGCAGTGTTGGATACAAGTTGAATCCATCAACATGGAGATCCAGGAACCTTGTTTCTACAGCTAGGTGGGCTGGGCAGACAGAGACCTAAGCCCTCTCAAATCCCACCAAACCTCCTTTTGAGCCTCTTCCTGGGACCAAAACCTAGGCCCTTATTTCATAGAGATTTTTATAATACAACTGTGACAAGTACATACAATAATATTACTATTTACCTACGTTTTTAGAAAGACTTGAAGGAAAATCAAAGCAAGGAAATGTCTAGGAGAATAGCGTCAGTGCCTTGTGCTTTTTCCTCCCTTATATGTAGACCTCCAAAACGAAACCTAGCTGCAAAAGGAAGAGTCAATTAAAAGCTCCAGGTCTTGGAAATTAGACCTTGGGGCCAAGGTCTTGGACAATTAAGCTGAAGCCTATAAATTCCTCTGGGGTAGAAGAGAAGCTGACTTCAGGCCAGAGGGAAAAAGGCAGAGTGTTGCTGGTACCCAAGCAGGTCCCTTGCATTTCTGGAGTAATGCAGGGAAAAAAAAAAAAAAAAAACTAATTTTCCTACATCCCTAGCCCTAAGGGCTAGATGCCTGAAGGGGTTTCTTTCCTTAGACAAGAACCCACAGTGATGGAGCCAGAGATGATTAGAATGCTGACCAGTCAGGGAATGGAATGCAGTGAAGGAGCATGTCCAGGTGGCAGATGAGCAAGTAGCATGTTAATAGATAACAGACTGGACAGAGACCAACAACCAGTGGTTATGTAGAGTTAAAACTAAGGTTACTGTGTTTAAACACAAAATCACCAAGTTTGTTCAAGAATGCACTAGATTTTGTTTTCCTCACTGAGGGGTTGAAATAGATATTCATGTGAATTATCCAGTTTTTTTTACTTTTTTCACACCCAAGAAAGTGGCATAAAAATGTTGTAACCACTACACGTGCGTTTGTGACATTCAGCTACTCACAGTCTCAAAGTTTTACTCCACAAATTAATTAATTTCAAAGTTACTTTTAAGAGTTTCTTAATTAGTAATAATTAACCTTCTGGAAGTGTGGTACACACCTGTAGTCCCAATTACTCCGGAGATGAGGCAAAAGGATCAAGTTTCAAGGCCAGCCTGGGCAAAGGTAGCAGCAAGATTCTATCTCAAAAACAAAAGGACTGGAGGCTAGCTCAAGTGACAGAGCACTTGCTTAGCATACTCAAGGTCCTGAGCTCAATGCCCAGCACTGGGAAAAAAGAAAGAAAGGAAGATAGAGGAGAGAGAACCTACTGACAAGACTTAAACAATTGCTATTAAAGTCTACCAAGTGAACCTGAAACTCACAGAGCACAAATATTTGAATTATCCTTATATCCTTATACCTTAAGACTTTATCTCAAATAAGAAAAATATGAATAACATTTCCATTAATTTCAAAATCACTAATCAATTAGAACCTGCAAACATTGACTCTCAAGGAAAAACACATTTCTGGCATTGTCAGCTTTTAAAGGAAACCCTGGAACATGGCTTTAAAACTATGGATTGAATCTTTGTGTGCAATTGCCACTGTGTGAATTTGGAGAACTTACTTAGACTTTGTATGCCTGCTTGTATTTAAAAAAAAAAAAATAGCACATACCCCACAAGTTTGGCTGAAGGTTTTTTTGTTGTTGTTTCTTGTTTTTGTTTTTGTGGGACTGGGGATTGAACTCAAGGTCTGCAGTACTCTACCACTTGAACCACACCTCCAGTCCTTTTGTTTTTAACTTGTTTTTCAAATTAGGACTCTAGTTTTTGCCCTACCATCCTTAAACCTCAATCCTACCACCACCACCTCCAAGTAGCTGGGATTATCAGGAATATGCCAGCATATCTGGCTAAGAATGGACTTTAAATAGGTTTTCTTCAAAAGAATGTTTTTTATTTAACAAATTCTTATAGAATGCCTGCTGTATATTAAGAACTGACTATATATACTGAAAAAAGAAAATTCAACCATTGGACTCTATCCTCAATGAATCAAGCATGGTAGCAGAGTCAGTGAAGTAACAAAGACTTATAAGGTTATGTAGTTCTTCCTATAAAGGAAATTATTGGAGAAAAGAGAACAAAAAGGAGCACAGCCAGCCATAGTCTGTAATCCCAGCTATTCAGGATTCAGGCATGATTTGCCAAAACATGATTTCAAGGCCAGCCCAGGAAAACAGGCAAAGTTAGTGAGACCTCATCTTAAAAATGAAATACAGGGCTAGGATTATAGCTCAGTAGTTCAGCACTTGCCTATCATGAATGAAGCCCTGGGTTCCTTCCACAGTAAAGTAAAAAAAAAAAAAAAAAACAGAGCAAGAGAGAGAGAACCAAAGGAGAGACAGAGGGAAAGAGGGAGGAAGGAGGAAGAATGTGAGAAAGAGAGAAGGAAAGAAGAAGGGAGGGAAGGAGGGAGAGACGAAGGAAGGAAGGAAGGAAGAAAAAGAAAAGGAACAGGCCAGGGGAGTAGTTCAAATGGTAGAGCACTCACCTAGCATGCACCAAGCCTTGTTCAATCTACAATGCTGGAAAAAAAAAAAAAAGAAAGAAAGAAGAGAGGGAGGGAAGAAAAGGGAAATTAAAAGAAAAAAGGTAAGGAAGAATAATAGAAAAATTTGGACTTATTGAAGTATAATATATTTACAGGTAAAATACCAAAGGTAAACCCCACTGAACAATGAACAGACATTTAAACAATGAAAGACAGGAATGTAGAGCACATCATGTTAAGGGGAGGGCACTAGGGGGAGGAGGAGAATAAATGAAGAGGGTAAAAGGAGAGTGAATATCATTGATGTATTTCTACACATGCATAAATATGGAAGACTGAAACCTGTCCAAGTCATTTTAAGAAGGAGGAGGGAGAAGAGGAAGAACGATGAAAGGAATGTACCAAACCAGGGTACATTGTATGCATATATGGACATGTCAAAACTATAAACTAATAAAAACGATTTAAAAAACAAAGAGAAGGGAGGAAGACAGCACAGGAAAGAATGCTTAGAGCAGTGGATTAGCAATAGGTAAAATTCAGGATGGTGAAGTTTTAAAAGAATGGTAAAAGATAGAACGCACACCATCCTACTTCATTACCCACAAAAGTTCATATTGTTAGAGACAAAAATTGAAAAACATTGATCTGATCAAATTTGATATATAGATTAAGGATTATTAATATATAAATAAATTTGATTAATTTTTCATTTGAAAATCACACAATTGGTGACGAAGTTGAAATTAGGCCACTATAATTCACCTAGATCAATAAAATATCAAAGGGTGTGACACTTCTTATATGCCTCCTAATATTAACAGAAAAACAGAGCTGGGCAAGATGGCTTTTGCCTATAATCATAGCAACTTGGGAATTGGAGACTGGAAGGATCTTGGTTCAAGGCCAGTCAGGGCAAAATGTTAGTGGGAACCCATTTCAAGCAATAAACTGAATGTGATAGGATGCACTTGTCATCCCACCTATGAGACATGCATAAATAAGAGGATCTTAGTCCAGGCCTGCCCCAGAGAAAATGGGAGACCCTATCTCAAAAAATAACTAAAGCAAACGAAAGCTGGAGGCATGGTTCAAGTGGTAGAGCACCTACCTAGCAAGCACAGTCCCTGAATTCAAATTCCAGTACTGCCAAAAAACAGAAAGAAAAGAAAAACTGGTATTAATAAAGGTGGATGACAAGTGCATGGAAGCAACCCTAGGATCTTTCTGTATAGCTATCTTTATCCCAAACTAGCAAAAACGATATATCTTTCTAATTATCACCTATGTTTTCTCTCCAACAAAATTAGAGACAAAGAGGGCGGAACAGGTTCTGCCTGGAAGCAGGATGGGGTTAGGCGGGGGGGACCAAGGTGGCACAAACAATGTATACATATGTAAATAAATGTAAAAATGATAAAATTAAAGAAAGAAAAGTGTATGAGCCATATTTTCGCCCTTGAGGAATTTATACTATTTTGAGTCAAGATTTACATATATGAAATTATTCAAAATATGTACAAAATAATAGGAATTTGTATATAACACATTCCAAAACAATATAATGCAATATAAATGAGTGGTCAGTAAGCAAAGTGAACAGGGCTATCTGGATTTACTAAAGAAAATCGTAAAAAAAAAAAAAAAAGATGTGTCACTTAGAAGACTTGTCAGCTGTACGTAAATCAAGAGAATGGAAGTAGGATTTGCAGGTGATAGAGGTGGAGAAGGCATACAGCAGAAATGTGCATGGAATATGGTAAAAAAAAAATACAATGGACTAGACCTTGACATTGAATATCATGTGTTTGAATAATTATGGACAAATCCTTGATACCAAAGAAAGAAGAACCCTAGAACTCTAGATTAGTAATATTTTCATTAAGTTCATGGAATCAACCAATTCTCACTGCATCTTAATTATACATTTGAATCACCAACAAAATAAATGAGAGAAAGGAAAGAACACCA